CTGCGCCTGAGCAAACTGTAATTAAACAGACTGCTTATCTAAGAAAAACACATGGGCTGACTGCAAAAAGAAACTAATTGCTTCTTTGTAGTACCACAGAGTAAGCTCAGCAGAGTAAAGGAAAACATGTGAACAACCACTACAAACCGATCACAAGCTGCACTGTACCTGGCCAGTCTGAGGAGTAAAACCACGGTGTAAATGCAGGCATACTCTCATAGGAAAATTAAAAAGCAAGAGGATTTGAAATGGCAGCCCATAAGTGAGCTCATTAGCTGGCTACTTACTGTCCCCATTTTCTTATTGTGGCTTCTCTCTGTACTAACCACTTGCAGAAGTGACATCCTATTCTTTTCCAGAAGACATCTCCTGCTTTGCCCTGCTGCTGGAACGCCACATACCCTCATCTCCCAACCCTGCCAAACCCCTTTGGGATCTCTGCTGAGAACAGCTCCAGTTTCTGTGTGTGGAGTCTCCCCAAGGAGACTGGGAGGGAAGAACCCCGTGAGTCCCAGGAGGACAGAGTTTCTCTGCAATTATCTTGCACTCGGGAGTCAGGATATTAGGAGGAGGGAGCCATGGGGAAGGCTTGCATCTGGTTAAACACATCCTACATCGGGATGGCCAGGATCAAAAGCTCGGCTGTGAGTGCCAGCCATGGAACGTCCCTGCACACAGGCAAGACTTTGTGTTTGATTCAGCTGTAAAATTACAGCCAGCTGTTTCACTAACACAGCAGCTTAAATCCAAAGAACCAAGAGCTTTACCTCAGCTGCATTTTCTGTCATCAGGTCTGTACATCCGACCGAGTGCGGCCCCTTTCCTTGGGGGATCCTGTAAAACTTCTCGGTGCTCCTGCTCCCCATTTCCATTGGCGTCTTCACCGACGAACCTGGGGAAAACCACAGAGCAAATCACGAGGCTGCCACGGCCTGTGTGACCACATCACCCACCTCCAAAAAAAGTTCAGCACATCGTAGATGCAGGAGTAGGAAATTCAAGGTTGAATAGAAGACTCTGCTTAGGAGAATCAGAGATCTGACATCCCGAGTCACCAGCCTGACCTGCGCTAGCGAGTCCTTTCCTTGGAGCGGTGTGTCCTGAATCCCCAGGACCCAGCCTCGCACTGGGCAGAGGGGCAGCGAGGAGGCGTGTGGCTGGGGACACCGTGGTGGCCCTCAGGAGGTCGGGCAGCAGCACCAGTCTCGCTTCTTGGGCCCGAACAGGGAAGCGCAAGCCCAAGAGCCGTGAGTTCCAGACGCAAAGGCCGTTCCCTCCCTGCCAGGCTACACCCTAGAGTCGTTTTTCCTCGGAGGAACGGCGGGAGGGGAGGTTTTGTAGCTCCCCGGGAAGGAAACCCGTCCCACGCAGCTGGCAGAGGGCGTCAGGGCGAAAAGCAACGCCGCGCCCGTTTTTGCAAGAGGAACGGCGATCCCCGGTGAGAGAGGGAAGCTCCGACCGCCCCCGGCCCGTACCTGCGGTGACG